CGTTAAGTTCATCACCAACAGAAGAGGCGGACATAATGGATCCATCTACAGACAGATTCGAAGGAACGGCAACAGGACATTCTGGAGACTGAAGAAGGAATTGCATTCCCACCCCCAACATCTACACCATCATCCAGTCGCTTAAGGACATACAGAGCATGAATGACATCAGCCAGATTCCGAGAGATGCAAGAGGCACCATTCAACCCCGGAACAAGAAATACACCAACATTTACAGACGCCTGGCCACCTTTAAGGAACGTTATCAGACTGGAACGATCGACCTGATGAGCTATGCTGATTCAGCATCCGAGCTTTTCCAACCTGGATAGGGTGTTTTGTGTTTTCTAGTAGAGACTTTTCAAGTACTTGACTATCAAAAGTTGCAAATGGAAATAATATCTCGATAAAGTGGATAATGTATTGCCATAGATAACGAGTCAGTTTTAATTCAGCTTCATTTAGGAGTTTATTCTAAATAATAGTTTATTTTAGTGCTAAAATGCGCATATTGATTCCCTATTACATGTATGAATATGAATTCAATTTAATTGCTGACACCAATATGTCAATGTGACTTAATGAATTTTATTTATTAATTAAACATAATCTTACATGATAGCAATTAAGTAATGAATAATAATATCAAATATTAATATTTAATAACTATTTTGTAATACTTTTATATGTTAAACATTGCGTTACAATTAATGAATACAAATAGAAACTTTATCTATTTCATTCTTGATTTGTGGGTATCTTATTTACAAAATCAGTTGGCATTCTTATCTAAAATAGACTATAACTTCAGCTTCAAAGGATTCCCTATATAAACACGGCTGTATCCCCGAACGCATACATTTTAAAAACATGTCTTGGGTGATATGTTTACACAGTGATTATAGTCTGTTTCCTTGTGTAGGTAGTTATATTTACCTGTACAAGTTACCTGTATTTACCTGTGAGTGTACAGGCATCCTGATTTTAGGGTGGGAAATTACAGATGAGGACATATAGTGTATAATAGACTTATTTAAAGTGAAAAATTACAATTGTATGGATTATATATATAAACTTTAAACAAATTATTTAAGAAATGTTCAATTTACAAGATGAAGGATATAAATTGTGTACAATTTTGTTTTAATATTTTTTAATTTATGCACAATTATGCATGCATTCAATTTCATTTATTCAAATCACAATAACTGCTTGATATGATTATTTTGATTATTTTCTTTAAAAAGTGTTTGTATAGTAAATTTTATATTCAAATGATGTTTGCTAAATAAATTAATTGATCTAAAACTGTTCACCTCTCAAAGATCAATTAAAAAACTGATGAACTCAGTTAATAGGACCAAAGCTACAGATGACATGACACTTTGAGGTGAGTATCCAAGCTATTCATGCAGTTTATCTATATAAGCTCCCACATTTTTCACATTGGTATAATTTACTTTGCTATCATTCAACAAATCTTCTAGTGTTTCAATTCCCAATCATGGCTAACGCTCAGTTAAATTTTAAGTTCATTAGAAATAGACTTGGGGGTAACAACTTATCATATAATGGTTACTTGTACAGAATTAGATCATCTCGAGGAGAAAGGTAAATATCAAGGGCTGCTTCTTCCACTACACCCAATGGGTCTGGAGAAAGGCACTGATGACTGGACTACAGCTTCCATACCGGGACAACGAAGACATCAGGAGACTGGTTCGCCGTGCAGCAGTCCTACCTCTGGTACCTGAGCAGCAAGTTGAGGATGTCTGGTTTCACGCACTACAGGACATTGAGTACGCCGACCTACCAGCTGACGTGACACCATTCACGGACTATGTTGTTGACCAATGGGTGGATGGAGACCGACCAGTTTGGAACCACTACGACAACGATGGACCACGTACCACCAACCACCTAGAAGCCTGGCACGGGAAGCTGAAGAAGATTGTGCAACACGCCCATCCAAACATCTTCGAGATCATCCAGACATTCAAAGACATTCAGGCTACCAACGAAATTGCAAGACTCCAACGACGCGCCGGTGGAACCAGACGACCCCGACCCAAGAGGTACAGAAACATTGACACCCGCCTTGCCCTGCTGAAACAGAGACTGGAGAGCAACACCATAGACATCATTGCGTACGCTGATGCAGCATCTGAGCTTCTTCACTTGGGTTGAAATGTCTTGCCTAGACTTGCTCTGAGCAAAACGAATGACTTTGTACGTTGTGTCATTGTTGCAGATATTTATGTCAGTGCTATATATTCATCATTGAATTAGTGTTATCACTTATCAGTCTTTAGTGTCTCGTATATGCCGTTAGTGCTGTAACATCAATCAGTTTCTAATAGTGTGACATATAAGTGCAGTGTATTTATTAGTATTCATAGTCATGTTGCATATATTTGTCATTTCCTGGTGCTGTATATTTATAAGTTTTTGTAGTAGTGCTGCATATATTTAACATTTCCTAGTGCTGTATATATGTCTTTAGTTATGTGCTGATATGTTGTACATTGATCTTTCTTTAGATCAAAATATTGTACCTTTTAGATTTGATTTGAGTTTAAAGTTAATTGTAATATTATGATAGAATATATTCATACATGTTGAACTTGATATTTTAGTTGAAGTTACATGTTATTTAAAGGTAATTGTGCTATTATGATAGAATATATTCATAAATATTGGCATCTTTGTGTTCTTTCTTTATATTAAATGTATTTTAAATTTAATCAATTGTAATATTATCATAAGAAAAGTTAATAAATATTGAACTTCATATTGATATCTTAGTTTTCTTTCTGCAAGTTATCACAGGTTAATACAGGTAACACAGGTAGATCCACAGGTAAAATATCTCAGGTAAATATAATACATGTATGATATAGACTATAATTACCCTCCCTTTGATGTTTCTACCTATTGTTCTAGACATGTATGCGTTCAGGGAACACACCATAAACACATTCCTTTCAAGTTGGCAGAGTTGGTGTTCGGGGAAGGAGCCTTTTGTACATTCAACGAGATTGTAGGATCTAGACATTAATGGCTGACTTTTAGCCTCCGGTTTTGTCAAAACCTGCATGCCATCTTTTAACTCATTCGCATAGTGGCACGGTTCAAAATATACACATGTACATGTAATGCCGTTGTTCGTAAATTATCAGATGTATAAAAAAACGAATTATATTGAATTATGGGGCAAGCCCATCGTCCCATCTTCATTTTTTTCGATCACTTTGTCTTTTCTTCAGTCATCTCCTACGCTTCAAAATTTAGGCATTTAACATCACTGACGTGTCCTAAATGGAAGAAACAGCTGTATAATTCAGTTAAGTCTAAGAACTATAACTCTAAAAATAAATCAAATGTGATATTCACATAAGTGTGTTTTGTTAAGTATCAGCGGTTGCTTAAATACCAATCTTTCAACAAAAACAAAATCTAAACTGACGTCATGATCTGCACTGACTACCATCCATATTTATTATTCACAAGAGTTCCCAGTAAACATCACGTCTCCGATCTTACAGTTAGATATATGATTCTACTTACATCAGATAAAAGATGAATATATGTTATATCTACTGTATGGCTATTTATACGTGTAGAGTATGTGTTCAATGTTATATAAGTATGTAAGGTGACTTCCTCGTCAACCTGTGATTACCTGTACATTAAAGAATTACTGCAATGTTACATGTTTCGGTGAGTCTATACATTATAATGATAATATCAACAATTTAACAACAAAACTTGTTCATTCTTGGCTGTGCATGACTCATTATTTAAGAGACAAAAACATTTCATATCTGTTACTACTGATCTAGGTAATTGTTATCTTCCTATGTTTGGATTATCCTATCAAAAGCATAGTAGTCCAATTAACTTTTATAGCCATTTATGTCCTGGCTCTATCCTTGTTAGAATTTCGTTATATCGCCTATCATACACATCGTTGTCCAGATCATCTTTACAGCCCTTTACGTCCTGACTCTGTCCTTGTTGGAACTTCGTTATATCGCCTATCGTACACACAGTTGTCCAGTTCACATTTTACATCCATTTATATCCTGACTCCATCCTCATTAGAGCTTCGTTATATCGCCTGTCGTACACATGGTTGTTCAGTTAACTTCTACAGCCCTTTATATCCTGATTCTATCCGTGTTAGGACTTCGTTATATCGCCTATCATACACATAGTTGTTCAATAAAATTTAACAGTCCTTTATAACCTGACTCTGTCCTTGTTAGAACTTCGTTATATCGCCTATCATACACATAGTTGTTCAATAAAATTTTACAGTCCTTTATAACCTGACTCTGTCCTTGTTAGAACTTCGTTATATCGCCTGTCGTACACATAGTTGTGCAGTTAACTTCTACAGCCCTTTATATCATGACTCCATCCTTGTTAGAGCTTCGTTATATCGCCTGTCGTACACATGGTTGTGCAGTTAACTTTTACAGCCCTTTATATCATGACTCCATCCTTGTTAGAGCTTCGTTATATCGCCTGTCGTACACATGGTTGTGCAGTTAACTTCTACAGCCCTTTATAGCCTGACTCTGTCCTTGTTAGAGCTTCGTTATAGCGCCTGCCATACACATAGTTGTCCAATTAACTATTACAGCCCTTTATAGCCTGACTCTGTCCTTGTTAGAGCTTCGTTATAGCGCCTGTCATACACATAGTTGTCCAATTAACTATTACAGCCCTTTATAGCCTGACTCTGTCCTTGTTAGAGCTTCGTAATAGCGCCTGTCATACACATAGTTGTCCAATTAACTATTACAGCCCTTTATAGCCTGACTCTGTCCTTGTTAGAGCTTCGTTATAGCGCCTGTCATACACATAGTTGTCCAATTAACTATTACAGCCCTTTATGTACGGACTCTATCCTTGTTAGGACTTTCTTATATAGTACATTATACAAAAATACAAAGTCGCTTACGGTTTCGTTATATATCACACACATAGGAACATCTTGATAAAATGTATTTATTAAAAAAACAAATTATAATTAATATTTCATATAACGTTTGATTGATTTCGGCAAAAATCGATCGATTTAACGGTCGAAGTCTCTTCAGCATGAATCATTTGTAAAAATGACATTACGACAAATACACATAGACGGATATATCAGTGTTTTACACTATTTAATATTTACAACATATTAACCACTGATTACACTATAAAGTCGAGAATTCTATATCAGCCAGCAGGTCCCTAAAGCCAATCTTTGTCAAAGGTTGCTGCACCTTGTAATAGTGAAAAATAAGTACATATTACACACTATCGTATACCACCATACATCAGTAAACACTTGATTGACATATTCGGGTCAATAAAACCTGTCACTAACCGGAGTAAATGGATAGCAACAGCCAGCAGCGATGATATTACATACAAGAAGTTATCAACTTGTAACAAAATATCTATAACTAGGTCGATTAGTTGCATAAAACATAACAAATAAGACCACGTGTTGTCTACCAGGGTATCTTGTATCGTCTATTAGTTGTAATGTACTATCATTTTAGGTACAGTTCGTGGGACGCCGAGACTTCCAAACATGGCTGCCAGTACTTTTGTTTTATTGACTTTCTAAAACCTTTAAGGTCATAAACATTGTGGTGTTTTAGCATGAAAACTGATACAAACATATACTAATGAACATACATTTTCGATTTACATTGCAGTTATATACAAACATTTTTTCCAATAAACTCTCTTTATCACACATACATGTTGGGGCTAATAAAACAGACCAACATCTCTCAATCACATTCATTAAACTATCAAAGAGCTGCCACAACACTTAGTTTTACTTTTTACTCGTCTGTTATATGAAACAACCAACCTCAACACACTATGAGAAATGGAACATACAGGCACACATGGACTGCCAACTCTTTTCTGCTACAGAATTGGTCTAAACCCTCAATGTCACCATTCGTTTCCACCCTTCTCAGTCATGGAATATATATATATATACAAAGAATTAGTGGCCGACGAATTCCTTTCTCTTTCAAACTGACATAGAAAATGTTCTTATGGAAGGCGCTATTTTATTGTATAGAAAAATAGAGAAAAAACAACATTGAAATACCAACATTTCAACGTAATTATACTCCAAACTCAAATTCAACAAAACTAGAGCAAATATGAAGAAGAGAAAGAATTCCATGGAGACTCCTGAAGGAGAATAAGACCAGGTGTTCCGAAAGAGTATGCTTCACCGACAATTTCTGCCATCTGTCATATGCCATATAAATATTGGTCATTCGAAGTTATCGATGTCACGTTCTCAAATGAGAACAATGTATACAACAATGGAAGCAACAGACAAACTAACGAGCATCAAATTAGTCTTCTTTCATTATACTGCCTTCTTAACACAACGTCATCAAGTCGTTTCTAGCACTTGACTAAGTCTTGATCAAAGTTTATAATAACATTGTCTGTGAGGTGACGATTACATCGAGATCTGGGTTCGTTGTCAAGGCACTGGGAACTCTATCGTTACATCTACAAACATTAAAATGAAGGCTAATAGGTGTAAGAACTCATTCTATACTGCTGGTGGATAATGGCCAACAAACGTACCACGAAAGGAATGTAAGTAAATTTTGTCAACAAACGGATATTTATATGTCACTGATACAGGCACTTTTGAAACAAAGTTTTAATTCACAGTAGACCCATCACGTGTGTCGTTTCCAGCCATGCGACTTTGGACCAAACTTAAAGCACAACTTCTTCGGTAATCCTCTGTCTTTCGGGATGTCGTCAAAGTAGCCTTCCTTTCGGGAATATCTAAAAATACGAAATTTGACATATTAATGTTATTTGGACAACTGATATATTGATATCTGATCTTAGAGTGGAAGGAACACAGTAGGTAGCATTGGTTTGCTATAACCTGATATGTTTTCTTTTACAATGTTCTAGCTATATAGTGATAAATAGAACATTTTCAAACATACATGTTGTTTTCCGTTCAATTTCGTTATTGATATACCGTAACAATATTGTAAAATGATATGGTGTCTGCTGTAAAACTAGTGTATATATTGTTTTCATCTGTCCGATGATGACACAGAATATAGATCGTGTTCATCATTAGGTGCAGCAAACAATAAGCTTATATCTAAGTTTAATAAGCTTCTGTAAACTTTTTTCCTACAGAACTATTTAGAAAAGAGTTAAAACGAATACAAAAGGCATTTTATTGTTCGTTACTAGAAACTTCTTTTCGTGTCAGTATTTTATTTGTTATGTTTAATAGTCATGACCCAGTGAATTGACAAACTGGCATGGCTTCATGCAAATAACAATTTAGTAATCGAAGTTCATTGGCTGTTGGAACTGACCGTAAATTAAATATTATTTACTGAAGTAGCTGACCTTTCAACTTTTATGGATTAAGCTTTCAACTGCTTTTTCATGTAGCAAATGACAGACCAGGAAGTAGTGCGATAAGCAAGTCACGTGATCACCGACAAAGGTATACACAGTTACACGTGGATAAGGAAATGTATATGACCATACACGTAATGGCGGATCGATTGGTTATATAACTGGGTGTTTTGTTACACCTTCGATTACACAATATGTGTTATTTGATGTTAATAAGTCAAATAGTAAAGATAGCACTTACAAGCTACAGAGTTTAAAGGTGAATAATTATTGTTCCAGGAATAGAAAGCGAAAGTAAAATATCGGACATTAAGTGTTTAACATGTGTATTTACCTCAAAGATCTGCTCAACTTTTCGTATGTCATTGCTGTCTTGTTCTTTTTCATTGACCCCCATTCTTTAGCGACCTCTGTTGATTTTAGGACACGGAATATACCTTCCTCTTCATCCTCCCACTTAATGATCTTTGGACAATGTTGTGGATTCTGGAGAAGATCTCGAATAAACTCCCACAGGTGATAAACACTAGAGGCTAAAAAACAAGGACATTCAAGAAAATTAAATTATTGTCATTTTGAGAAATGTTTAGATTAATTGAGAGAAAAATATCAAATAATCTAAGCAATTATGAAACTTGTGTGTGTGTACGCAAATTAACCTTCATAGTTAATGATGAAAAACATACTATATATAAGAAATTAGTGTAAAATTAATTCTAAATCTATAATAACTGTTGTGTTTTAATCTAGTTTGGATATGTATTTACAGAAAAAGAAACTCACTCTGTCCTTTCTTCCTGCCTGGTCGTTTGCGTTTTTCTTTGTCTACAGATTTGATGGAGCTATCACTACTACAGTCTTCCTCTTCATACGTATCTACCAAATCCATCACATCTCGTTTGCCGTCTTCGTAACCATTGCTGCAATAGTATGGTTTAAACACAGAATCGTCCGGCAGGTTCTGGGGTTCAATCTTCACCTTTGGCATCATGGCATTCTGCATATGTGAGCGAACGTCCACTTTTCCTAATTCAATCATTGTTTCTGGAGTGCACGTCTCAAGTCCTGGTTCCACACTGCAGTCTACAATAAAATGCCCGTGAGTGTCTGTGTTTATCTTAATCAAGTGATTTACTGGATTTACTTCCTGCTTGCGTCACGTTGTACGCTTAAGGGTTTTTAGATACATGTGTTTGGCCGTGATAAGCTCGTTCGAGATCTGAGACACTTAATCACAAATATGTATATATATCTATGTCTTCTGCGTACTAAAAATTAATAATTAAAACCTAAATGTTGAAACAAATGAATCTATGAATGAACGAGTTTTCCCAAGGGTAGGCCCCTTTAGTGACGACATGTCCCTATCGTCCAGTAGACTAACAGTAAACCACCTGTACATGTCTGTTTCCTGGGAAAACAGTATAAATCAATGTACACGTACGGCCAACATGATTTTGTTTACAATTCGTTGCTAGGTTTTCACAATGCTTTTTTTCAATATTTTTATTCATAATCTTTTAAATTTATTTATTTATTAGAATTTATTTTTGCTTAGGGGTTTGTTTTGTTTTGTTTTTTATCATTATTGTTTTTGGCTATACCAATCATTACTTGTTTTCTGTCTTTCTTATCCTCTTTTCATGTGAAACGTTTCGGTTTTAGTAATTTTTCTATATTTTTTTTTTATCTGTCAAGATATTTTCATAAATTCGTTTTTTATTAATATGTTATTCTAATATGATGCAGCATTGCGATTCTGTAATGAAAATTTGGCTGTGACATAATGCTTGTAATTTTTTTTTAAAAGTTATTTGAGATTTCTATAATAAAAGCCCTTAATTGTTTGGGAGTTTCTTGAAAAATGCCTACATACAACATTTTTGTTTACATGTAAATCTATATCACCGCTAACACGATTGAAAAGTCATGCATTTCTAAATTGTTCTATTTATGGATGAAGTGGTTGTAAAACTCCATATAAAACAAATTTATGATTTTTTTTTTTGTTTCCGTATGTCTAATATATTTCTCCAGTGATGATCCTATCTTTAAGTTTCCGGACGATGAATTTATCTTTTATCTTCCCCTAGTAAACATTTCTATCTTTCTTAATCCTGACCATATCTGTACACATGAACAGTATATATTTCTCCTTCAAAATCATTAACATGATTCTTCAAACCAGGAACATATCCGTAGTTTTCCCTATCGTCTTTATCTCTATCACTTCTAAACATTTTATTTTTTCACAGTCATTTTCAATCTTGTATGAAATTTGATCTTTTCTCGTCATGAACGTAATGATCTTTATCTTTCCCAATTATGAACATATCCTCAAATGTCCCAATCATGAATATATTTCTATATGTCCCAATCATGAATATATTTCTCTATGTCCCAATCATGAATATATTTCTATATGTTCCAATCATGAATATATTTCTATATGTCCCAATTATGTATATATTTCCATATGTCCCAATCATGAATTATTTCTCTATGTCCCAATCATGAATATATTTCTCTATGTCCCAATCATGAATATATTTCTATATGTCCCAATCATGAATATATTTCTATATGTCCCAATCATGTATATATTTCCATATGTCCCAATCATGAATTATTTCTCTATGTCCCAATCATGAATATATTTCTCTATGTCCCAATCATGAATATATTTCTATATGTTCCAATCATGAATATATTTCTATATGTCCCAATTATGTATATATTTCCATATGTCCCAATCATGAATATATTTCTATATGTCCCAATCATGAATATATTTCTCTATGTCCCAATCATGAATATATTTCTATATGTTCCAATCATGAATATATTTCTATATGTCCCAATTATGTATATATTTCCATATGTCCCAATCATGAATATATTTCTCTATGTCCCAATCATGAATATATTTCTCTATGTCCCAATCATGAATATATTTCTTTATATCCCAATCATGAATATATTTCTACATGTTCCAATCATGAACGTATTTCTCTGAAATCAATTATAAAAGGAATGAACATGATAAAACTCCATATTTCAGTATAACAAATAAAGTCAATTTTGACAGTAGCTGACCGAGTTGGTAACCGACTTTATCTCATGACCTCCAGGTTCAGATCAGGAGTCTACGTATAAATTTTCCTTTTGTTCTTATTGGCCAGTTTTATCATTTTGATGTCGGTATTGTCTTCATAAATCATATCAACAACATGTATGTACCCCTCCACCTGTTCATCATGATAGAGAAAATTTCACTTTCCAAATTAATTTTCTTACAACAGTGATTCGTGGTGAGACTCCTTCCACCACCACCACCAAAGTGTTAACTCACCTGAGCTGTAATCAGACAAATCGCCTACGGAACCTGGACTGTGAGGGTAACAAGGTGGATCAGTATTGTCAACTGACGCCATAATTTCGTACTCGACAAGTCCTACTTCGCAATTATCGTCGTATTTATCATCGCCCTCTGACCACAACGGTAACGGTACCAAAAGATCCCCAGGCGATGAAAGCTCTTGAATATCGGTTTCGCATTCTGTAAAAAAAGTTTTGTTTTTGAAAATTAGTACACTTCCTCGATATTATTTTTACAAGGAAATATTTTAATCTTTATTTTATTTTCAATCTTTTACTTCCCAGCAAAATATTTCCTGTTATTAATTTTTTTTTCATGTTCTTTGTAAATCTTACCCTACAAAACAATGGAGGTAGGTTTGGTATTACACCTCTGATATCTGGTGTTTTAACAGATAGACCGACAAATATGAAAATTTAATATCAACAGTTTTAGGGCATTTCAACATCAGCTGGTATCAACATAAAAATGTTGACGAGTGAAACATACTACGGCTTTGATTGTAGCCGATTCCTATTGTACACAACCTCGAGGATCACACCAAAGGAATGCATGATTTTAATGTTGCTATAATGATAGACATAATATGTGCAAAATAATGAAATTGGACTATATCATGCCATTACTTGTAACTATTATTATTCAAGTTCTTCTTCATAATCACATACATCTAAATTTCACTTACATTATTACTATACTGTATTTCATTGTACAACACAATTATAATTATATAGTATTAACGTACACATAACTATCCATGGCTATTTTTCATATCTGGCATATTTCAAGCTGATTATAATTAGATTATATAATTCAATATCAACAAATTACTTTCAAAATAAAAACGTTTCTTAGATTTCTTTTTTAATCACATTCCTCCTCCAAACACACAAATTTTCGGGTGTCTAGGTAAAATAATTTGGTATTTGTTTCCAGTATTTCTTTCAACAAAAGCCAAAAAATTTTAACCACACTGCATTCCCAAAATAAATGGATGATGGTTTCCCTTTCATTTGTGCAAAAAGTACTGAAAATTAATCAATTTTGTGTCATCAGTTACCTCCCTTGGTGTTAGGTTAATCATTTCCCAAGTTACTTCACTTATATCAATATCTAGGATTTTCTTCCATTTTCTATGGCTATTCAATGGGTTTTCCGCAATTGTTTCGATGAGAGTATAATAATACTAAGATAATTGATTAATTTATATTGAGTAGTATTTATGTCTACAGTTACATTCTGTAGGATGATCTTCCAATTTCTTTTTTAAATAAATGATATTGAATTAAGATTTTTCGTCAATTTTACGAGGATTTCAGTATTACAAGATGTCAGAGGTGATTCAAGTCAACAACAGAAGATAGCAGGTTTTCAGATTAACACAGACAAAGGGAGGCAACTCGAGTACATGTAAATACACCAAATTATCATAAATTTAGTATTTCAGCTAAATAGTAAATCATAACTGATTTATAACAAAAACAGATTGGTATATATGAATATATCAAACGACAAGTTATAATTTACTTATCTATAAAATACATAAATGATATACAAACATACAACAAATTATAATACATTTATCTATAAAATACATAAACGATATATATACAGCATATTCTAATTAACTTATCAATAAAATATATAAATGATATAAACACATACAACATATTATAATTTAATTAACTATAAAATATATAAATGATATAAACACATACAACATATTATAATTTAATTATCTATAAAATATATAAACGATACACACACATACAACATACTAAATATTTATTGTTGGTAAAAATGTATTAATACAAACCTTTTTATCATAAAATTATATGAGTGATATAAATATATACAAATTGTTAAATAGTGTAATAAATTATCGATAGAATTCATTACATACTATTGTTTGTATACTCACATCCTATAATCATTTATCTGGTCCGATTTGAATTGATAAATAAAATACGAAATTTCAACTGCGCACCTTTATTCATGTTTATAATATAATATAATATAATATAATATAATATAATATAATATAATATAATATAATATAATATAATATAATATTTGAAGATGATAATATCACCGACTCGTGCCCTATCCGAGCCTCGAACTCACGATCTACACCCAATCGCCTAACCAAGTTCGACAACTATCTCACCAACTGTATCACCCTGTATACATCATTATAGCTAGAGATGGCCGTTGATCTTGTTACTTGAAACATCGTTGGACACAATTAAAGGTATTAAGAACAGTTTTATATTGTTTACACAGAATAGAATCCTACACCGGAAATTTCATACATAGATCCTGTGTGGTTGTTTATTTAATGGTCAATGTCACAGAGAAATAGTCCTTGCTTTATGACTTTGATTTTCTTCTCTCTGATATCGCTTTATTTTTTTTTACTTCAGTAATCGTCCATATTTAATGTACATGTATGTTTATTACAATATCATTAAAAAAAGGAGGGAAAAATCATTTACGGTGCGTACACTTTCTGAATGTAGGTAAGCGCAAATTATAATTGTGATTAAGCAGGTTTTCCCTATTCACTAATCCCGTTCCCAGAACATATTTATGTTTCGTAGAAAACGCACATCGATTAGTAAACCTGTGTGCAGTTTGTGAATGTGTTTGCACGTTTGGCTGCACAAATACACAGGCTCAGTTGTACAGGGACAATGAGACCAGGTACCATACAGACAGACGACATGCATACGATATCATTTTACCTTACAAATGTTGTGAGAAGGACGGGGCAATTCTTTGACGGGTATGTACCCGTACAAATACGACTACAACTCAACACATGCTTGACATTGTAGATAATTTTGACATTGGTTGTTTTGTTTACAAGTTTCTCATACTCCCTTTTTTTTGACAGGTATTTTTAATTTATAAATATTTTAAAATGAAATCTTGGTCAAAATGAAAACATGTTCATTGTTTGATACATACAAATTTGCTTATCTATTTTTTTTTCAAACATTTTATTGACTAAGACGAGACATACATAAGATTACAAATGTGTCCTCACACAGGAGGGCTCTCATACTTTCACACATCATTCAGACTTCTCATATTCCAGACTATGAAATACATGTACACACACCTACACACATACTGTTAGTCTTAAATGTTTATACTAACATTCCTTACATTTAACATTACGACTGCTAACAAGAAGCTAAATCTAAACATAACTGTACACCTCTCACCATTCTCACTGTTACCACATGTACACAATTCACATTTACAGGATTCCCCCACCCTTCCCCCAAGAAAAAAGGGTGACATGGTGTGCAAAAGGGTACCCCGGGGCATTGTCAGAGGGCCTTACCCAACTGAAACATCACTCTTGATATGTGTTTTGTTACTAATGATCTTACAATATATAAAAAAAAGTTTCTCATACTCCTATATATATATATATACATTGACAATATTTGATTCCCAATACACTGATTTACAATATAATGACGAGAACTTCTAGGAACGTCCAACACTTTTAACACTTACTTGTTTTTATAGCTTGTTTTGTATGGACTGTAAAAAAGGGGCTAGTTGTCCATAAATACGATTAATCGTACAATGAAGGTCAGGTACAATTCTGGAATACCTCGCGGGCTATAAATGGAATTTGAACAGGCGGAAAAGCATGCCAGGTTAACACTGTTGTGTCGACACATCGTATTGAATTCGCGTTGGGAGTATATGTACACTTTGTGCATGTTATTTCTGTATCATTTAATTTCATTACATTGAAAATAAAACAACAGGTCAGTTTTAAACCGGTTTGACTGGTGATGATAACAGCATTACCTTCTTGAGATCCTGTTCATTTACATTAAGTTATATAACATTATATCATGTTTACGTTATCTACTTCAGATCCTGTCGGATTCTCACTACGTTATATAACACTATTACACGGCTTTATGATGTAAAGATTATGAATGGAACATGTATGAGTACTGTCACATCCATATTCTTTCCATATTTATGTAAGTGTTACATGCACCTTAAAACGTTTAAATTGAGATAAAAATCATTTGCTTATTTAAACGAAGTAAGTATGTGTTGTCTTAGTATCAAAGTAAGGTATGTGTTGTCTCAGTATCAAAAGTTAGATATGTGTTCTCTCAGTATCAAAAGTTAGATATGTGTTGTCTCAGTATCAAACGTTGGATATGTGTTCTCTCAGTGTCAAAAGTTAGATATGTGTTGTCTCAGTATCAAAAGTTATATATGTGTTGTCTTAGTATCAATCGTTTTTATATGTGTTGTCTTAGTATCAAACGTTATATATGTGTTGTCTCAGTATCAAACGTTAGATATGTGTTGTCTCAGTATCAAAAGTTAGATATGTGTTGTCTCAGTATCAAAAGTTAGATATGTGTTGTCTCAGTATCAAAAGTTAGATATGTGTTGTCTCAGTATCAAATGTTAGATATGTGTTGTCTCAGTATCAAAAGTTAGACATGTGTTGTGTCCGTATCAAAAGTTAGATATGTGTTGTCTCAGTATCAAAAGTTAGATATGTGTTGTCTCAGTATCAAAAGTTAGATGTGGGTTGTCTCAGTATCAAAAGTTAGATATGTGTTGTCTCAGTATCAAAAGTTAGATATGTGTTGTCTCAGTATCAAAAGTTAGATATGTGTTGTCTCAGTATCAAAAGTTAGATATGTGTTGTCTCAGTATCAAAAGTTAGATATGTGTTGTCTCAGTATCAAAAGTTAGATATGTGTTGTCTCAGTATCAAAAGTTAGATATGTGTTGTCTCAGTATCAAAAGTTAGATATGTGTTGTCTCAGTATCAAAAGTTAGATATGTGTTGTCTCAGTATCAAAAGTTAGATATGTGTTGTCTCAGTATCAAAAGTTAGATATGTGTTGTCTCAGTATCAAACGTTAGATATGTGTTGTCTCAGTATCAAAAGTTAGATATGTGTTGTCTCAGTATCAAAAGTTAGATATGTGTTGTCTCAATATCAAAAGTTTCATTTTGTGTCTCGGTATCAGAAGTTAGATATGTGTTGTCTCTGTATCAAAATTTAGATATTTGTTGTCTCAGTATCAAAAGTTAGACATGTGTTGTCTCAGTATCAAAAGTTAGATATGTGTTGTCTCAGTATCAAAAGTTAGATATGTGTTGTCTCAGTATCAAAA